AAAATAGTTACTGTTGGTGCCATATTTTCTCGTGCAATGCACCAACGTGAGACATACCAATTTCAAGAACATTAATATTGTATTATGTATTTCACAATAAAATACAAAACTTTTTTTACACAAGAGTGGTAGGTACTGTTACAGTTTACATGTACTGAAGATAAAAAACTCTGTGCCAGAAATACCAGATTTCCTTTCATAGTACATTATTGAAGTACCTACTGCAATAAATAAAAGGGTAGGTATTTTGTGAACCAATACAAAGTAGAAACTAATTATTTTGATACAAATGTATCTCCGCTTCTTTCACCTTCCTGAATTGAGACTGGTCATGTTTCTTGGAAATGCGGACTTTGTCGATCACTCACAAAAATGCCTAGTTGCCTCATATCTAATTTCATATAATATTGTATTTCTGTTTTCCAAGAGAAATTTTAATCGTTAAAAATACATTTTTTTAAAATCCAATTTAGAAATGTATTTTTTTGTTTAGAACGCAGAAAATTGTCTATTTTATAATTCAAGTATCCACATAAAAATAGTCATGACATGGATGTCATACAATCTGTACATACATTTATATATCGACACGGGTAACTAAGCAAAATTTCTAATATCTTTTATATTATCTTTTCTTATTGGCTCAGCTGCGTATTTCCTTTGTAATGCCAAAATTAAATATAAGTTCAAAATAATGTCAAATTTATTTACGTTTTGTTTTGTTTGTTCTGAACATAGAACTGTAGATCAAGTAATGGTTGACAGCGTTTTCATTTGTTTAAGAAAAATATTTTTTTATCATAGGTTTTTTGTAGGCATAAGTAATTTTGTTATATATTTTTATTATATTTGATAAATTTCGCATTCACAATGCTATACTGAAAAGTATTTAATGAAAAATGTTTAAAAATCCATTTGGTCCCTGGCACCCTGAGACGGTATTCGAACCCATGATCCTTCGCAATCCGGGCGACTGCTCTAACCATATAAGATATAATTTCATTTAAATTTTCATTTATATCCAATTAATATTATAAATGCGGACCTATAATACATACAGTCGCGGTTTTGGATATCTTAGTACAGTTAATATCTTTCTTCACCATCGCCAAGTCATAAGCACTTAAAACATAAACAATTGCATACCAAGAATTCTCAAATATACCCACGACCGTAAATTAATAAGTTGTGTACGATATGCTGTTATAATGTAGGTACTATGAAAGGAATAGAGTTTTTATGTATTAGAATTAGAATTGTGGATCATACTCGAAAATCAATTTTCTCCGTTTGGTCGGTACTTAGATTGGACTGATATAAAAATTTATTTCTGTGCAATTGACTAATTCAGTCCAAACTCTAAAGTGAAAACTGCTCGGAAATCTCGGAAAAGTAGTTTTTCTTAGGACACGACGAATTACAGTGGTGCTGAATGACTAACCTCTAACTTAGAAATGATTTTTAACACTACCGTATATAGCGCAATTATTTAAAAGGGTTTAATATATAATGAAACGTTCAAGATATTTCTTTATTGTTGTGTTTTTCTAAATATTCTGAGTAATTGGCAAAGGAAAAATTTGACAAACCACGTCGAATGACTGAAGCATTTCAAAAGTTCTGACGCGACACCGTTTACATATTCATAGCAGTTTTTACCCGTTACGGTGACATAAAAATTGTATTGTTCCGTAAAAAATAGCCGTTTCACATATAACAATTGCTTTTGAAACAAAAGAATCGTTATTTTTAGAACGTTCTGTACTAGCTACCGTGTGTGGTGTCGGCAGAATGTTTTTGTTGTTTCCTTTGCCTAATAATGTTGCTGGTTTTGAATAAAAAAGTTAAGATTTTCGCAATTCATTTGTGTTTCTAATGTTTTTCTCTCGTAGATGTTGAGAATATTCAACATGTTTTGGCTTTACTTTATTGCCAGCGGTAACATCTTAGATGAGCTTAAAGCGATTCAAAATCGTGTTCAGAGGTGGATATATAGTTTTTTTGAGTCGTAAGTTAGTATTACCACGAGACTATAGCACAGCGTTTGATATTAATTTATGGAATAAATTAGTGAATAAAGTCTTTTTGTATGATGGAATGACGGAAATTGAAGTTAACACAATATTCATACACAGAATTATCATTTTCCACAAGGAAAGTTAATTTTAATATTGACTAGCGACTTTAACGCGTAGGTAACTAAATTAACTTCATACAAATGTCATTGAATAGAAATTAATGTTTTTTTACTTTTAGTTAAGGTCGGAGAGATCGGGGCAAGATCTTGGAATTGATTTCGATTGACATAAGAATTTTGTAAATTTGCCTAAGCGAAAAAAAAAACAGTTAAAAATAACGTCAAAACTATTATTTTCACGTTATTTGCAATTGCAAATAGTCGTGCTTTTTACAGCTTCTTTGGCAATATAACTTCTGCTATTAAGCGTAATTGTTATGCAGAAGTCAGTTAAATACACTTAATCATTGAAAGTAATATTATTCCAAGTTAAATTTTTCATAGATAGATATTTATAATGTAGTATTCAAAATAAGAATTATGATATTATATTTAAGAGTTCTGTCCAACCAAAAGGTGAATTAATTTTTTTTCTCGAAATAATAAAATTACTAAGTAATTTGTAGTAGTACATTGCCTTGTTGTAATTATATAGCTCTTTTTAAAGGGAATATTATTTTATTAATATGTGAGTTACATTGCAGAAGAGCTAGCACCTTTTTTTAACGCCTTTGCCGGGCGCAATGAGATATATACATGGGATATATAGTAAAAGTCTTAACGCTAAGGGGGGACCCTTAAATTTATTTACTTCTATCATCGTTGACGGGGATTAAAGAAAGAAAAAACTTAAACATAGTGAGATAAATTTTTGTATTTTGCGATTTATGTATCCAGCACATAGTTTTCTGACATTCATTCATAATTAAAATAAAGTTACAATGATTCCATTTAAATAATAAATTAACATATAAAGATGTAGTCTTCATTCATTTTTCTAACAAAATAAATCCAAATACCGAACAAAGTGTGATTCTAATTAACATGTTTTAAAAGTCACAAATAGTAGGCATACCTATATAAAGATAACCGACGAGGTAAAATAATGACCGACATATACTTTTCGAGGAAAGACTATGACACTCCAATTATGAAAATAATAAAAAACAAAGCACAAATTGAATTAATTAAAAACACACTCCCGATAACGCATGTAGGTAATTGAAACAAAAAAAATGCAACCGCAAATATTTTTCAGAGTCCATAGTCGCAAATCAACACACACTACGTACGCAATAATAAATAATTATATAAATCTTTTCCATTATTATAAATACACTCTGATTCACCTAATTTACAGTACAATAATTTATACGCTAATTTTTAGGGGTTACACAAAACTATGTAAATAATAGGTAACTCCACCGTTATGAAAAGCCAGCTTATTCATTCTAGAACACAATTCTTTAAATATATCTCTATCATACATAACATGAGAATATCTCGTCTATAATAGTCGGTAATGAAGGTACAAAAAAGGAACAAGACAACGCCAGTGAGCTTTGCATCCTCTTTTTGTACTTATTCAAGAGATATACAGTCTTGTTTGCACATTGGTCAATCGTTTCTAACACCTATATAGATTAAAACTAATTATATTCTATAACACAGGGCTAACGTAAATAATTACAATTATAAGTTACGAATCATCAATCTATATACAATATTTATTTGAAATCGCATAATGTAACTACTTCACAACACTAACTTAATGCCTAAGTTTAATTCACAAGATCAAACACGACTCTTTGGCCTACGAGATGTTTACAACTGACTTTTAAATTCTATGTCTATTTTTTGGTGTCACTTTGTTTCGCAGACGGAAATTTGATAGAACATCGTTTCGCTGAAAATGTTTCATATAATATTTAATATTCATTATGTTAAGAATATTATTGTCTGAATGACGATAGTTCACGGAAATATTATTTATTAAATTTTATAATCCAATATAATTTATTTATTTAACAGATTCATCAATAAGTAGAACATTTTCAATGAATATTATTTGTATGGTTTATTTTTAATTATCAACGAAAATGAAAAAATGTTAGAGTCGCCATCAGAAAGCGGCAGGATATGATTACCTGAGATAAGACATCTTAGGGATGTTATGGTGATATTTTTTTTCATTCTACTACTTTCACATGTACTTTAATATGAATGAATGATGTTCATGTATTGATAATAGGGCTACCAACTAACACCCAGTTGCAGAAACGTCCATCAAGGTTTAATGATGACTTTAAGTTCTAATGATTGTTCTAAATTTGAAAATTTGTATCATTAAAGTCGCTTTAAACTAATAGCAATTTTAATGGACGATTTTCCCACTGGGTGTTTGTTATTTATTAGTTAGTTATTAAGACACGACGAAGTAGTAAAGTGAAACAAATATGGCCATAACATCGCTAAGATGTATTCTATGGCAAAAGGCGTGATGCATCGCTGCTACCAGAATAGTAGGTTAGGTTAGAACTGCGACTCAAAAAAAAAAAACGAATGGACACCAGAATCGAGTAGCAGAATAGTGAGTTAGTTTGGAGCAGCGACTCCAACAGAAATTATTTTATAGGGGGAGTGGAAAAGTTTCGAAATTGACATTTTGAAATTGTTTTCTTGGTAATTAGTTTTGTATTTAGCAAACAGTATAAGAATAATGAATATCAGATTTGTTATTCTATGATATAAATATCGAAAAATTAAATGTTATTTACACAAAAATTATCGACTTCATTTTCTTTTAAATAACTATTCTGTGTATAATACGCGAAATTTTTTATGAGAAACGTAATTCTATCAAACTGTTGTCTATAAAACAATGTACAACCCTATTTTTTAACTAAGTTGTACTGCACTATTTCAAAAACCTACAAGAAAGCGATGACTAGGGTTAAAAATGAATTTATTATTTAATATTCAGCTAGGCGTGTTGAGCGCGCCCAAGATGGATGAAAAACGCTACCCGGTCCGCGCTGCGTTCACCGCATTTGTTACACATGAACGGGTCGTTGTAACCATGGAAACCCATATGAATGGTGTGCATTGTCAGATCACCAAAAGTAATGTCGCAGTATTGGCAGGTGTAGGTATTAGAAGCGGTTGTCGATGGAGACTCTTCTTCTGAATCAGATTCTGACGCTCGTAGATTTTGTTTGTCATCTTCATGCTGCAGCCGCAGTGCTGCCGGTTGCAACTTGAACGCCGGACCTTTTCTCCTGTTCTTAAGACTTGTTGTAGGCGTCGCTGGCGTTGAGCGCTCGCTATTAGGTGGGGGTGATCCAGCGTCACTTGTCTTTGTATTTGTGAGATCTAGGGCATCGTTAGTAGCTGCTGGAGACATACTCCGAGCGGGAGGCGTCCGTGGCTGACTTAATGGTGATTTTGCTGGAGGCGATGCCAAGTTTGTATCCATTCGCTCTCCATAAGATAGTCGCTGGTGCAGTAAAGATGGAGGTGGTGACGGGTTTTGCAACTTTTCGACTGTCTCCGTATGTTTTGGGGGCGTTTTAGGCTCATAGTTATTGTTATGCGGAAAAAGAAAGGAATGAGGCAAAAGTGGCGGTAAATAAGGCAAATTAGGTAAGTTGACGGGAAAGTGGCTGCCGAACAGTGGATGTGTTGGCGGAGGTTGTGGAAGATTGCTGTTATTCATTGTTTGTTGCTGCTCAAACATTTTGGAGATCGGTTTCTGTTTTGGACCACGTCGCGTTCCATATACGTCGATTATAGGTAGTGGGTTTGGTGTGCCGTCCAAGTTTAACACCATAGCCGGGTTGTGTTGATATTTTCGAAGGTGCAGTTTCAAGGAATGGCAGTACTTCGTTGCGTAGTTGCAGTCTGCGCAGCGATACTGGTAGATATTTGAGTGCGACTTCAGGTGCGAATTAAGCATCGACTTATTGACGCATGAATATGAGCACTGACTACATTGGAAAGGTTTGGATCCCATGTGGTTCCTCATGTGGTATTCCAGATGATGTTTATATTCAGTAACAAAAGGACATTTCCGGCAGCACAGCATTTTCTCTGGTTTGATGTGCTCTTTGCTATGTTCCCAAAAGCTGAGCTTAGTAACAGCCATAAATTCACATTGTTTACATTTGAAAGTTTTGACTTTTCCATGGGAGTTAACGGATGGAACACGGAGGCCAGGTTCCTCATCAAAGTCGTCCTCGAGGCCGGAGCCGTCGCGGCCGTCGTCACCATCTTGTTTTCCTTGCGCGTCAAAGCCGGAATCTTGAAAACGGTCGAAAGATCTTCTTTCGTTATCCCGATCCGGAGACGCAGGTGTTCTTGGAGATTTAGGAGGCGTAGCATCCGCACGAGGTAGCGGAGTAGACACATGTGCGGGTGGAGCCAGAGATCGTGGCGAATATGAGTTTTCGAAACCTGAGGACGGTTCTGGGCCGTCATTAGTCCGTGGATCGAACCCTGGTGGCGTCAATAAATTATAAGGCATCCCGCTGCGGTAAGCATCTAAGTGCATACCCAAATTAGCCTTTGCCTTAAGTGGCATAGTATCATAGAAAGGTAAGGGCTCGCCTGAACTGCCGACACTGCGCGGCGAGTGTCCGTTTGAGTCCTTGCTAGATGATGATGGTGATGCGCTGTGGAATCCTTCAGAGTAGAAACCGCTGTGTTGCTCTTTAGCGAAGCTTGTATCGTCCATTGGTTCGGATTTCTGCAAAGCAGAAAATTGAGTTAGTATTTTGTAGATTAAATCATGTTTTATTTGAGTAAATGAAGATTCTTACCACTGCAGGTGGTTGAATTAATGGTCCCCAAGGCTGGGGATGAGCGGAATGAGGCGCGGGCGTCATGCCGGCGGGTGACGCGCAGCTTAACATTTCTGAGAAAAGATGAACCGTTGTTAATTCAACGCGCATTCCTCGCGACATTGCGTCACATTAAAAGAAACAAACGAGTGCCATAAATAAAATTTTTGCTGATGCCGCAAAATTAATAAATAATGTAAAAAATGCGGAACGCTGCAGTCACGTACGATCGAACTCTGTGATGTTTTACAATAACGGAACGTAATTACGGTAATAATCATAAGATAATTTTGTAAATTCCGTAATTACAGCAAATAATGTTATCATTGTAAACGGAGGCAGAAGAGATTAGTTTGAATTATTTTGCTGGTGATTTTAAATGAAAATCTAAATGAATTTAATAGTTTTTTTATGAATAACTGATTATAAAAAAATATTCATAGATAAGTTTAATCACTTTTAAATAAAAATGATAATAAGTAAACTTGATTGTAAAATAGAAAAGGAGTTACATTTACAACAATCCTACGCAAATATTATACTACTATAGGTGGCCTTATCGCTTGATAGCGATTTTTGCCATGCAACCTAGCGATGTACGAAATAATATAACATTAACAATTACTACTTTATCCTATAAAAACAAAACATTACTTTAAAAATTGAGACTACCTAACGAATTATTATTAGAAAGCATTATTTTAATAATAATTAGTATAACAATAAAAAGTACCTATGTATAGAATAAGTTGTAGCCTATAATTTATACCAAAGTGAATAAGTTGATGAAATATTGTTTCTAATAGTAATTTCTTATCGTTATTATAACAAAAGCGTACATTAAATTACCGTGATAAGTATTTTAAAACAACAAATTTAATTTATTTTATTAAAGTCGTTGGGTATTTTTGAACTAATATACCCGCTTACAGTTGTAGTTACTGGCTAACAAACTTTAATAATAGTCAATGAATATAAATAACAAACAGTATATTAATAAACTGTTTGTTTATATTATGATAATGTAATAACTTTGTTATACATCGAAGGCGTTAATTCTAATTAAATTTAGGCAATTTTTATCACCACGTTTTATTAATCAAAATAATAATTAATTAAGCAAACTCACCTCACTATAAGTAGCTGTCAAAAAATTAAACTTCCAAAACACAACACATTAATGTTTGTTGGTATCCAACTTCACACAGGTTACACTTGAAAAAGTACTCAATTACGAAACACGTAAATACCCAAGTGTTTTTTGGGACAACCCTTCAGAACGCGCGCCGAAAACGGTGTGACTGCGACGGCGTCTCACAATGAACTAAAAAAAAATTCTGTCAATTTTTATGCCCCAAACATCGATAAATGTATTCCACATTGGAAGGCGACGAGTTTTCTGGTGGGAAAGAGACTGCGCTATCGAGCGATACGTGCGTCTCTCTCTCACCCCCACAGCCTATTTTCACCCGCACCAATACGACGCGAGCTTCTGCGGGGTGGGGACCCAGTTATTAAGTTATTGTTTATGCGATATTAATAATAAAAAAATGAGTAGTTGTTATTATAATAAGCTATAGGCGTTATGCTATACGTTATTATGAGACAATAAATGCTGTTATGCAGGGAAATGAGATCATTGTTCGGCCTTTTATGTTGGCCGTCTAATTCGTTATTTATGTTTGTTTGTATTGTTATTAAGCTTCTTTTAGATTAACAAAGCATTTCTTAAAAAAATATATTAAAGACTTCTACAGTTTAATAACTCGTTTAAAAAATAACCACATGTTTTCACGATAAAAACTTTTTGATTAATTTCAGGATGCTATGTAAAGTTATCGATCCCTTTGCGTAAATGTTAATGTTTAAAAAAACGAGACAAAGAGTAGGGTAAAAAGTCGAATTGGAAGGGAGGTGCTATGAAGGGGCGTCGAGCTTTTTACGCCGACGATCGACCAATAGTAGCGGTGTTATTAAAAAAGGAATGCTCTTTTTATTTTTTACGCGTTCCGTTCCGCCCAATAGAGGTTAATTTATATTACAATTTATTATCTGCGGTATCGTCATCACGATTACTGATGTGTTCCCTATATGAAGACAACGCTGTAACAGTGTTATAAAATATATAACTTTATTAATGTAGTTTCTTTAGTCGTGCTGATTCTCTGAAGAACTCTGACATTATTAATGAATAAGTATTCACGCTGATAAATTCACCTTCTGCGTGTTTGGTGAATCCCTTGATAAAAAATAAAAGCGTTTGCTTTTATTAGTGAGCTAACATGACAATAATATCCTTCTGATAATATTATCTATAACAATAATATTTTTTCAGGTTATGGATTTATAAGATCGATTTATCAGCATTCACAGACTATGAATTTATTCATATTATTATGGCTTTGTAAAATGAATTCCATTTGAGGCCAGGGTAAACAATACAAATGTTTGATTCCTTGTTGAGTTTAGACCAATAAGGAATGAAACGGTTTAGACCAAGAGCGGGTTTCTAGGCCGATATTGTGGCCAGACTCTGTGATAGACAATGATACATAACTATTCTGCGAAAGTCACCTGAGTTAGGAAGGTCGTATTTATGTGACCCTTTGTTATTGTTGTTTGACTTTTATTTATTACCTGTATTAGGTTCTCATTCCAAGAACATTGCGCAACTTGAAAAACACCTTTAGTAACTTTACAAGAGCTATAATGATCTTAAATATTTCTTTTACGCCTAATATTATAATGATAGAAATAATCTTGTATTGACTAAACAGAAAATAATACAACAAATTGTACATACATCAGCTAGCTAATTAAATGTTTACTTAGATCTAATAATATCTGCTGTTGAGCTTATTTGAAACTCGTATTTTAGCATACAGCGTCTCTGTCCTAGGAAAACTAGTATAAAATTGTAAGCCATACTAAATTAGGTTAAACAGCTAAAAATAATCAATTTCTATTAGAAATAATGAAAAACTCTTAAGTTACCTAATTTCATTGTGGAATAGGAAACTAGAGGGAGGATTATGAACCGCACGACGTTGGACTGTGTTAAGAATCGTTAAGTTGTTTATCATAGCGTAAACATTCTATTACGTTAAGATAAACAACTTAACGAAATACTTTTATACTAATGTAAATACAAATATTCATTTTTTAATATCACCCGTTTCAAACTGAATCGGAATTCTGATTGGTTACGATAAAATTTTACATAAGTAGTTGTCATATTTTTTTTCATCAATCAGTTGCATTCCGTTATGTAGGTATTCATTTAAAAAAATTATTATTACCAATAGAAAATTAATTAAAACCTACGAATTTCGTTGGTATTTATCCTTTTATATTGCCATTAATGTTAATTGCATGCGAATTATGTTGTTAAATTTAGTTATAACCGTTTGTCGAATTCGCGTTTCAACGATAGCTAAACGATGGTTTAGCTATCGTAGAAGAAAGAATAAATTAGTGATGTCTGTTAAACTCCGAAGAGTATAGTAATGAGTGTTGTAACGGGGACAAATAATGGTAATCACTTAAAATTGAAATGTACAATTAGAGTGGCGCCAGTTTTAATGTTTTTTAATATTATTTGGTGATTAACCTTCGATACGTTAGGTTAGGTAATGGAAGTAACTGTCGCCTTAGCTCGGATTACAGGTACCCGCTCCATTGGGACATGCTTTTGCTATTATAGCGGCGTGTGACGTCAGACCTGTCACCGACATAACTGAAGGTTATATTTCACGGATGCAGGTAATAACATATGATATTACATATTTATAGAATATTTACTTACTTATTTATTTTTCAACAGTACATACGTAAAGGTATTTACGGTGTACTGATAATGTTTTTTTTTGGAACGAACTATTATGTTTCGTGCAACAAATTTTATATAAAAAAATATTTTAAGATTTGAGAAATATATGTGATGTCGGAGAGAAAAATACTCCAAGAATTTTTTGTTGAATTGTAGAATAGATAGAAGTCTACTGAATAGTTATCACTTTTATTAAGCTACTTTGATGTCAGCTATAAGTTGCTCCTTTTAGTCGGTTAAACTTTAATAGTTTATATTTTCTCCACCGATTTCTATGAAGCTTGTGTTGGTTACTTAGTTGAAAGTTAATTAACGAATCAAAAATAAAAATATTAATATATAACACGTGAATGTGATATCTAATTTGTAAGAAGTAGGTACATACATGGATAAACATACAGATATACACTTACAAAAAGTTCACACATAATAACAACGATATACTAATTTTTCACTTTATACTATATACTATTAAAAACAACTTTATCTGGTTAAATAGGTTTAGTCACTAAGTATCTTAATGTTTCATCCGAGCGGTATGTTGTCACGAAATCACATCTTAAGTCAATGTCAAAGTCACAGTGACAGTTCACTAACAGACAGTTATTCTCATAATACTATCGATAAATAGTGATGTCTTGAGTATTCGATATTTTTTTGTCTAACAATACATAAAGGTCGATTTGATAACCTCCTTTCTAAAGTCGGTTTATAATACAGCTTCTGTAGTAAACAACTAGACAAGTAACCTTAATTATCTACAGTTAATCAACAAATATTTGAAACCGGACTGGGACTGGACTTTCACTGATGTACATTTTATAAATTTCTATTAAAAAACAATCAAGCGTTCGACTAAATTACTAATATATTAAAAAGTAACTAGGTAGGTATTACAATTTCTATTATGTTTCCGGAAAAAATTATAGATGCTATAATAGTTATAGTCTAACGACTAATGAGTCTTGAAAAATATTTGAAATAGTTAAATAGCTGGTCCTCATTGTATTATAAGTAAATGACTGGAACTTATACATCAATTAAAGGAGCGTTTTATATTTTTTTAATTTTTTTGATATATCTGTTCTGTATCTCTTCAAAGTAAATTACGTAATATGGCCTACTTTATCGCTATAAAAATATTATTTAAATTAATTTAATGGATAGATAAAACTGCCCATGTTTTATCGAAAGATGATCAAGAGTATCATTATAGTTTGCTCTTTAAATGAATGAAGATTAGTTATCATTTAGCAATATTCATCACATTACAATTTACCTATTGTAATGTGAT